CTCACAGTCAGACACTCCTCTCTTTCATGACACCTTTACACCAACAATATACTCACTCCTCCACTTCATCATCTACAGCAGTTCTTAGCAGTTAGAGCTATCGTTCACTCTAAAAATATAAATTCATGTAATCAATATACCTTCAATATATACAAGTCGTTTTTTGTAAATAATTTTTCGCTAAACTCAGCTCGAAGGCACTGCTCCTCCTCTTGCAAATGCCACTTTTCAGGAACTTTTTTCGCACGGATGCCGGGGTGAGTGGGTACTTTGGGCGTATACATCGAACGCCATTCTTTAGGAACCTGCACGCTGCTGATCCCACCACGGTATTCAAACAGCTGCTCCAGGCGGGCGCAATTATTGTAGGTCTTCTTGCGTTCGACGGCGATTAGGGATGTCTCCATTTCATGACTGTGGAGGCTGAGAGGAGTGACTAAGCACGCTTTAAACAGGGTACGGCATCGTTGTGTGAAACACCTAGGGGGTCGTACTTTTCCGCTGGGGAGGGGGTGGGGTCGTATTTGGTCGCTGGGAGAGAGGGGGGGAGGGTCGTAAGTGCCTTCACGAGCAAGCTGCGTTGGGAAAGAATTTCTCCTGGTTGTCGACTTTTCGCGTGAATTTTCCTGTTTCATGCGTACTATGTGCCACCTCCCCTCCTCTCCCCTTTCTTGGGATACGACTTGGTTTCGCGTGGAAAGGCCCAACATGCAAAATCCTTTTGGTAACTGTCACAGTTCCATTTTCCATTTTTCCCTGGGATAGCTGCACTTCAGCCACAAGCGTAGTGCATTTCGCAGTGAAAGATCTGGTATAAGATGGGAGAATTCGACTTCGCTAACGGAGGGAGGCAGAGTGCACTAGTCTTACACGAGCTTACAAGACTTTACAAGGTGATTTACACAACCCTTGCTGATTGCCATTCCATAGTTTTACAGGTGTTTACAGGCCTCCACGTCGACGGAAACTAGTAACATGGCCCCCCCCCAAGCCGAACAGCTCTAAGGAGCTCCCTTCTGTCAGCTCCTCTCCATCTTTTTTCCACCTCCAACCCATCGAACATTGAGGTTCGCTTTTCTTTGGAGCAAGGGCGAGGAAAAAGGGCTCTTTTTGTGCACTGCATCTTTCTTCGATCGAAAGCATCCTATGCATGGCCCGAAGTTTAGCGGGGTGCTCCTTGATGACGTCCTTCCACTTTTTCCCGGATCTCTTCGTGGTCACTGGGTTAAAGTCCAATGCTCTTCTCATCATTTGATTCTGTAGGCTTCTCAGCATTTGACTGTAACATCGCGGTCGCTGCCCTCACATATTCAGTAGAGTTGGAGGTGGGTCTCTTCAGTGAAGGAAAGTAAATCCGTTGAGCACGATAGTTATAGATACAGCATACTTCCATCCAAGGTGAGGGGCAGAGTTCGCTTCGAGGGCATGTGTTGCTTCCAATCGACGTAACAAAACCTGCAATCTTGGCTATAAGTAGCCTCTCGCGAATTGGAACAGGCTCCTTCTTGAGAACCTGTTAATCGTCTCAACTGCAGTTTATGGTAATGAACTCATACTTTCGTCAGTTTGCCAAGAGAAACAGGTCTCACTGAGGGGGAACTGAGAACTCACTTGCATAGCAAATGCGCCACTGTTAAAGTGGCATTGTTGCACTTTTAGAAATTCACATCAAAAAGCTGTGCTAGTTGATAATTGGCAAGGCGTGTCAGTTGAGGGTCGGATGAGCCGTTTCGGGCTGCTTAGCTCTACAATAGTTACGGTTAGGATGGATCCACGAAACAACCGTGCGAAGTGACCGGGTGAGTATCAAAGCCTCTTGAAGATGCCCCGTTGCGACGGATATGTTACTGTAACTTCAGGTGTTGCAAATATTCATTGTTTTAGAAAGCTAATATCGAGCCTCCTTCCGCAAATACGCCCCTGTCATTTTTTTTGAGTTCTATGAGATAATATCTGTTTAACTCTGTGAACATTTCTGCGGCAGCAAAATTGGGTAGACGAGATCGACAATGGGATAAATCAGACCATCTGCTGAATGCGTCATATCGTGACAGCTGGGGGAGGGGAGTCGTGTTCTTAACCTGTGCTTTCATTGTTACGGCACGTCTGGATTTCGGCATGTATTTCCGCTAACTGACGCTCATTAAGATGGGAGTAGGCCTCCATAGATTCACTTGTGTCCATTTGACTGAACTAGATGGAGTCAGAAGGCGAATCGAAAGTGGCGCCTTTGATCAGGCAGACTTCAAAGATATATTATTGGTCAATATCGTCCTTTTAATACCCCCGCTTCTGTTGTCACACTGTTTCCCAACCTGCAAGCCTTTTCCGATTTACCGATTGTTGAAGCTCTGAGTCTGGAGAGGTTAGCATGTTCGGGGCAAGTGAGGAGAGACGAGAAACTGATTTCCGCAACAACGCCTCACCCGCTCGATGCACCATCTTTGCCTACATCCATCGCTTAGTCTTTTGCCTCCCATGTTTCCAGGAAACACCGCAGATCGTGGAAGTAAGTTCTTGACTGCGGCGCCCCTCTCCCGCTTTGGCATCGAACTTTTCAACCAACAAAGATGTTCCCTGGGCTCGAATGCGGGTCATTCCTTACACATGAGTAGATAGGAGTTATAGTTTGCCGAAAGTAGACATTTTCTCCCACATGTGCGTTTACTTTTCAACCAAGTACACCTAAAAAAAGGAGCAGGAGCAACAGCTCTCTTTAGGGCGGAGCGTGGCGATGTTCCAATGAGTGGGGGCGGGACACACAGTGGGTGTTCGCATCTAATGGTAAATTTTAGGAGGCGTGTACTCTGACCTCATCGCTAGCTAGCTCTTCCGTGCTCATCTGCATATGTCAATGGCATATACACTTATGCTGACCCCACAGCCTCAACACCAGCACGCCGTTCTTACGTCGACGACCCCCAGCCGTGAGCGTTGGGTCACATCGGCCCCGCTACTCCCATTCCTATTCTCATATGTTCAATTGTCGTTCCGTTATGAGTTTCCTATAGGATATGATTTTTAATTCAGACTGACTTTGTTTCGGTAGACAGCTGCAATTATTGATTGACAATTACCGTTTCCGCATAGTTTTCGTTTTTGTAGTCTGAATACCTTTCATATTACTTCAAAGGCCATAATTAGCCCCTTGTAGAACAAATGTCCAGCGATCTCGATAAGCCAGTGGAGCTCGAGCAGGTACCGCTCAAATCTGACACCGACGCTCCGGCTGGAACTACAGAGAGCCATGAAGAGGCTCCTCCTGCCCCAGCTCCGCAAAAGAGGACATGGTTCTTTAAAAAGGTTTGCTTCTATAATGAATAAGGTATCGAGGAGAACTCTTCAATCACTCCTATATCTCTTCTTTAGACGACGAAGAAGGAGACAGTCGTTGAACAACCGAAGGGAGAAGAAACGATGACTTGTGAGGAGAAGCCGAAGAAGAAATGCTGGTGGGGGAAGCACAAGACCGAAGAGGAACAAAAAGATGATCACATCTCGATCGGAATTGATCTTGTAAACCGAGATGAAAAGGTAAGTAAACTGGTTTCGAGGGGTAAAAAGCTATAAGTAGGAGGCAATAAAAAGAAATTAGTCATGGAAAGAAATCTACTACAGAAGATGTTTTGTCCCTGACCTCAGGCAGACCAATGCATTTCCCGTAACTCCCCTAACTATTCCCGGGGAAGTTCTGTGGGTGGGAATTCGGAAGAATACTTTGGCAAATCTGGAACAATCCAAGAGAAAAACCCTGTGCCATGCAAAAATTGTTTCATTCATGGCTTGGGCACATACAAATCACCTTTTCCGTTATGGGAATCCTATTCAATTCTAGCTCCTTGACAAGACCCCTACTTGACGGATGAAGGGTGACCGGTTTGAGACCAGGGCAGAAACAAAAGTGCTTTGAAGCCTTTCTCATCCAATGCTTTCCTTTATTTAAAAATTGAACGCATAGTAGTTCAAGTGCCCCTTTCTAGCGAACTTGCCCCCATAAATGGTCCCAAATCTATAGACATGTTCCAGGGTATCAACGAGCATGTTCGTTTCGGTTTCGATGATATCTTCGGTGAAGCTGACACCCAGCACTCGTGGGACTGCGTTTGGCGACTGGTGTTCAAAGTCTTCACGTGAGTTTTGGCCTTCTGTTGTCTCCAGGGTGCTCTTTTCAGAGCCCACAACTTCAAAGAACTTTGTGTGATCTCCTGTAATTTCAGCTGGACCCGTCTTTTCGTCTACCGTCTCTGCTCACTCATTCTCGGTCTGCCAGCAGCTATTCTATTTGGTATTCTATTCGCTATCGTCTCCGTCATCAATGTGTTCGCCTGTGTGCCAATTGCTAAACTGCTGTCGATTCCCGCTAATTGGATCGCTAAGGTGAGACATTTACCACGTCTTCAGGCCATATTCACTCCATTACCACATCACATTTATCCCGAGTTATGAGGTTCCCGTGTGCCAATTGAGCAAACACATCACCGCGCTATCGAGCAGTCCAGGTGGAGGCGGCAGAAATGCGATATATCAGTATCCGACGAATGTACCGTCGCGTGTATACACACAGACACATTTGAATACTGGGCTCCCGAATGGCGCTATTTGCTCACCACTTCATCATTACCGTATTCATCATCATCTACCGTTTCAGACGTGGAGTTGGCTCGTACATGCGATCGTCGATCCATTGGCTACTGCCCTTGCTCTGCTCTTCTCTTCATTCACCATCCGGAAATACGGTATCAACTCACAGCCAACAGATCCATGTGTCGCCTGAAAGCCGTCTCGACGGGGAATTGAAAAGCACGGATAATTTTGTCTGTAAAAATAATCGATTTTCGTACACCGATGAGCAAATAAAGACATTTTCTCAACAATATTTCGCTATTTTCAACTTTTCAATTTCATTATGTCTATCTGAACACAGTTAATGGATTTTTTTGTTCTTTGCGCAAAAGATGAGATGAATTGTACGAAAAGCCGAATTCCTCCAGGGATTTGATGGAGTGCGTCAGTATGGAGACGCAGATCCTGCAAGAGGTCGGTAATTACGAGAGCCAATTGCGACTACGGATGGCTAGGGCGCCAGGTTTGAATTCTGGCCAACAGCCGTTCGACGGCCAACTGTTGGCCCTTGATCCAGAGAGGTCAGGCAGGCCACACGACAAACATGGATTGTGAGGGAGGAGGAGTACTCAGTTGAGGGACTCGACATGCCAATGTAGAGATGGGCAGGATGCCGAGGATTTTATGAGCTTGGAACGGAACATCTGCAATTTTTGGAAATACGGAAAATTGCAGAACTACCCAAATCCCCGGGTCGAGCAGCTTCCAAGGAATTCCCTAATTACGAACCCATTCTAGTTTATGTGTTCGTGGGTGGTGATTCGTCCATATGGGTTCGGAATTGAAGCGAGATGGTCCTAGAGTTCTATTACTCGAAGAGTCCTACTGTTGTGTGCGTCGGTCCAGCAAGCATGTAAGATATTCGTCATTAGCTCCTACTGGACTTGGTGATGCCTCACAGTTCATTACGAAATGGGGGGACATGGACATGATACAAGTTGCCTGAATTTTGACTTCAAACTTATAGGTTGTTTTTTAATCCTACTGGCACGTCATTATGCACCTGTCATTTCTTATCTCCACACCTGCATAGGCGTCCGAAAAGGACCAAAAATATATAAAATTTTGCCATATAGTCTTCAGTGGGTGTTTTCGTACGGGATCTGCCGCTCATCGTTCATAACCATCTACTACCGGGAAGGTCGTCATCATGTACCGCAGAGGAGTTCTACTAGGTTTCAGCCTGAGAAGTACCCTCGGATTACCAGTAAGGGTTTAGGCGGTGGCATTTGTAATAGACTGAGAAGGAGCAACATTTCCAGAAGGTAGCATTGGGAGAAAAATCATACGTATCCCCTTAAACCCGTGGTTTTTTGCACCAGAATGATGCATTATTCCTAGGGCATAGGAACGTTGGGCGCTGTTCGCCTTGGGAGTGGTGTGCAATTCTGGTGATATGTTGAGATGAGACTTTCCAGCTTGAAGGCATGTGGCACGATAATTTGGTACTCGTTCTGAAATGCTAGCAGGGTGCTATAGAGGGGGGAAAACGAAGTGAATCGATCGAGAAAACCTGTGAAGTCTTCGTCCTTCATGACTCAGAGAGCGATTTCGGACGAGTTTCCCGTGGCCAGAGTGCCAGTTACCGCTATGGTAGATATGGCTGCATGTGTGTTACCTCACTATATTCTGGCAGCAGCCGCTCTATAACCTTCTCTTCATAATTTATTCACGGAATGAAGCGGTACGGCATCAGCGAGGTCGTCCATTGACGACTGGAGGGCGGTCGGATCGGTATTGTTAGTCGGCTTAAGATAGGGCCTACAAAAGGTAACTTCCTTGAGAAAAGGCGCTGACACAGCCACCTGGCAGATTTATTAGATCTACTCGTTCTTAGGATTATTTCGTGCTAACTGCCATTCAGTGGAAGGGCATTTGCACTTTCACTAGTTCCTATGTAGCTCAACTGATAAATACACGTTTTAGTTAGTAAGATTACACGGCAAGAGTCCTCACGTTACGCCTTGGCAAGACGTGAGGACTCTTGTCGAAGGTAAGCGAAGCTGCGTAGCTTTACAGTATCTCACAAGTCCTTGCAGGAGGCATCGCCCGTGATCGATGAGAACTAGTAAAATGCCCCCTCAAAGGCGAACTACGCCCATTTCTGCTTAAATCTAGATAACAAAGGAGCACCGAAATGGGTGAACTATTTTCAGTAGATGTGAAGTACTCGCAACAGTAATCCCAGTTTTGCAAAAGAGTCCTCTGAAGCACCCCCTTCCATCCCACGGCCAGCCGCTCTGAGTCTTCGGGCAAAATGAGGCTCTTACCCAGCCCCCTTTACTGTGGCCCACAATCTTTTTCCGGGACATCGGAGGAATGGCAAGCTGATGAGGTTGGTGAGTTAAAGGGGCTCGAACATGGAGGGTAAAAAGCAAGTAGGGATCGCAACGCTATGATTCCTCTGAGGTTTCCCTGGCCAAAACCGAGGTACACTGGCAGTGATCCAAAAACTTTTTCCTTGTCCACTGATGGCTATTTGCCCAATCAATCTCCCACACGAAACGTATTCACACGTAGACCTTGCCACCTACTCATTCAACTACTCGACCTTCGTTTGTTCAAGTACTCGCGCAATCTTCTCGGCAAGGTAACCTGGCCTTCTTCAAACCTTTCGCCTCGTGTACAACTCCAACAATTAGGAAAACTTCATTCAAAGAGGAAAAAAATTAACAACATAGAGTAACATCTCTTAGATCACGTTGTATATGTATTTGAAAAGAACATTTAAATAAGCTAGAACCGGATGCCAGTGCTAGCCGAAATGGGTCAAGGTGAACAGATGGTGGTAGTGGTGGTTTTGGTGGACTTCAAACAACCATGTAACTAATAGCTATTGATTGAACCTATGAAAACGTATTTGGTGACAAAAACCAAAGAGAAACCACAAGGAATGGCATCCGATGCAGTGTGGGAGGGAATTGAATCCGACTTCTTATTACTGCAATAACAATTTTAGTGATAATATCTTAATGAGACGAGTACGAACACAATGGACCCTTGAACGAATGAGCACGACGTACTCGTTCATCCAATGACAACTTCAACGACAGAACTGTTCTACTCGACCCGCCCTTTTATGTAAACGAAAAAAAATCGTTGAAATCCTTGAAATCTTCGCTGCTTTTTCATTTTATGACACTGCCTCATCGACTAAAACTCGACAAGAATGAAAGCATTTGTTGTTGATCCGAGTGCGAGATTCCTGTTCGGCCGGATGACTTCATCTGAAAGTGAAAATTGAAAAAATGCATGCAATTACATTAATGCCTACGAAAATTATAACAATGCTGAGTTATGAGCAAAAGACTTGACCGCAGACAGGATCCAACCAATAGGCTGCGCTAATACTTCGCGAGAAGAGAATCCGAGATTAAGAGGCGCTACAAAGAAATTGTACGCACCAATCCATTTTTTCGTGAGAACCGGGGTATCGACTTCCCGAAATAGGAGAATCGCAGAAGTCATGTTTCAGTAAATGCGTCACTAAGGCAGCGTTCAGACTTCGCGACGGCAGCGCTTCGGTCGCGCGTTCGACGCGATCGATGCAGTTGAAAGCATGCGCATCGATCGTCGAATCGCGCGACCGAAGCGCTGCCGTCGCGAAGTCTGAACGCTGCCTAAGATACATAAAATCGACGTTCTACGAGACTGGGAGTATCGGAGAATAGGAGAATGCGCAGTATAAGTATAGTAACAGGCGCTGGTAAGAGAGTGGGAGAGAAGCAGACTGCGCGACAAGCCGTCAAAAATATCGACGACTGCAACTCACTGATTTTCAAAGCCAGTCGCGTAGTCTGCAATTCCTGCTCTCTCCTGCTTTCTCTCTCTCACCGGCATCAATCGATATCTATGCCTTTTAGGTAGCGCATTCTCTTATTCTCCGATTCTCCTGCTCAAACGTCGATTTATTGGTCCTCCCAAAACGCCAAATCTGAATTCGTGTTTTCTTGGTGGCGCATTCTCCTAAAACGTCAATTCCACGAATCTCCCATTACGGGAACGTCGTTACTCCGATCTCCCGAAAATCTAGATCGATACCTATATTTACTCTGTAGCACGTTCTATTACTTTTCCACCGTCGCCAGATGTGAAAGCAGCCTCACACCACCAGTGCCGCCTTCCACCTTCTCAGCTGACAGTTTTTACCGCTGATGAACTATCGAAGAGAGCCGTTAAGCTGAGGAGAGAGAAGGCGGTCCTTGTCCCTGCTGTTTACAATTACCTAGCATTTCGTACCACCTCAAATCAGCCCCGTCACTGCGAAGTGCAGGTCCAAGACCTGACTAGAG